CAAACACATTACCCTTGTCTCTATGTTCTGCAGGAAAAAAAAAAAAAAAAAAAAAAACTGTCATTAGCATTTCTTTTCCAGATTCATTTTCCAGCTAAATCTGTTCTTCAGCTTTGATATCAGATGTATTTGTGTATGTAATTGGAATGTTTGACGAGATTGATATTATTCCGGCATTTTGGATTCTAGATTATTTTTGAACTAGCATTTCATAAGTTATGTTCACCTTGTGAAGAGAATTCTGAAGGTAGAGAATTGGTGCTGGTGGTGAAGAGGGCAGCAACGGGGGTTATGACAGTAGTGATAATGATATGATAACAGGTGCATGCTGGTGGTAATAACGGAGGTAGTAGCACTGAAATAGCCATGAAAATAGTGGTTGGTATGGTTGGCAAAATCTCATACAAAATAATGTGTCAAATATGATAAAATGGAGACCTCATTAAGAATAAATAATAGGCGATGTGGGATTTTTTTCTCTCTACAAGCACATATAGTTCACAACACAAGCTGATGGCTAACCCGACAACTTGAGATTTTCTTGAACAAGGACATGACACGCTCCTTAACAAAATCTCTGCCAACCCATATATTCAACATAAACATACACATAATTAGAAAAAATTGAGACTTTTGCCCTCTGCAAACACAGAAATTGAGATGAGCCTAGAAAACCCATTTTACATGGAGGGCTATTCTACTAACTAGTTCATTTAGACTTCTACTAGATAGTACCTGAGTTTTGTCGTAGAATGGGTATAGACATCTGAATAGGGTAAAAAAAAACATATAACTCGTTAAGCTTGATTATCCCAGAGCGTTGTTATATTGCAAGTAAAATGAAGTTGAGATTACTACAAGTTAGACATGATGCTAGAAAGAGCCAAGATAAAAGAGAGTCACCAAAAATGCACATAATATCATTTATTATAAGAGTTAAAGTTCTAGTATGTAATTCTACTGTTTCAAATATCTTAATCGTATTTCTATACTAAACTTTTCAACTATCGTGTTCGTTTACTCTTAATTGCGTTTGCATTTGATTACTCTAATCATTTTTTCAAACAAAAAAAATAATAAACAAAAAATATCGAAAGTTGTCTCCGTTATTTGAAAAATTGATTGGAGGAACTAAATATAGATGTAATTAAGAGTAAATAAGCAAAAAAATATAAAAAATTATCTCTTTTGTTTGGAAAAATAATTGAAGAGACTAAATACAGATGCAATTAAAAATAAATAGACACAATAGCTAAAAAATTGAATACAAAAATATAATTAAGATATTTAAAATAATAGAAGAATATCCTGAGTGTTTAACCCTTCCTTATAGCTAATGTCTAAAAGAGAGCTAAATGCCACACTACATACAGCCACCTTTGTCAACAGAGTTGCAACTAGTCAAAATGGATCTAGTTACTGGGTGCTTATAGAGTGCCTTGGTTATGTAGTGATGTTCGATGCCTTTCAGTGCCTTTGCCCTTGTGAGTGTGACATGTGTCAAAATATATTTTAGGAAGTCTATATACTTTATGTCATCATGTACTTTACCACACACAAGGATACTCAAATTAATATTAAATCTTATATTAAAATACAAAATAATTTAAGATGAATATTATTATTAATAGTTGATTTGAACAAAATAGAAATTAATAATTGTGTCGTAGCTTTTAATATAGGTTTGAAAATCAAATTTGACAATCAAGAAAGTGGTGTGATAATTTCTAATGAGATGATAATATGGTTTTCAAAAATCTATAATAAAAACCATGATTAAATTTTAAAATACAAAAATAAAGTTAAACTAGTGTATAGAATGAAAAAAAAAAAAACATTTACATGTCCAGAAAATATACTAACTTTGTAAAATAACCAAAGTTGAAAATAAAAATCATTAAACCAACTCATTTAAAGATATAATTAAAAAATTAAAAATCAACAAGAAATTATAGATAGAAACAAATATAAAATAAACTAAAAATGTTATTAAAAATTTTATAAAAACAAAGATAAAATTTCAAAATAAAAATATTTAAGACATATAAGAAAATCAACCAAAATCAAATTAAATCATCTTCTAATCATCATAAAACCAAAACAGTCCATATATTTATAAGATGATCAAAATAGCCTTTATTTAATCTTAAACAACTATCCAAATTGTACAAATATCACTTCAAATCAAACATTATCATAAAAATAATCTTAAACATGGCACGTATGCCATTCGATTTTACTTTGGGAATATAAAAATTTAGACCAAGAGGTTATCTAAAAAAAGTATAAGTTTGAGAACCATAATGAAAAATATGAAAAACTAGAGATCCCCAAAGTTTAGATTAAAATTCAATTTTATTCTTTTTATATCTAAAACTTCAGAACCTCGTACCTTAAATTTCTTTTGAGAAACGCTTTGGTTTAATTGAGTTTTTAATTGTCATCAAGACCACAATCCGTCGGCTATGGCTACGCTTTGATTTTACTTTGGGAATATAAAAATTTAGACCAAGAGGTTTTTGTTTTTTCTTTACTTATTTTAGACTTAAAATTTCAGACTACTACTTTATTGTTTTGACAAACACTTAAATGACGAAGACAACTAATCAAAAAGTTTTTTATATAAAAAAGATTTGAATTTAAAATTACTTACTTAAATAATTAGGTCTACTTTCATTTAAGTTAATCTTTTTGGTTTTCCTACTTTGATTCTAAATCTTTCTTCTTTTTATAATATTTAACAATGTTTTCTGCTTTGTGCATTGATCTCGATAAGATATTATAGAGCTACAAATCTCCAAATTCTAATTCCATGAAGCAGAGATTTACACCTGGATACATCCCTCGTCATTTTAGGGGAAAAAAAATCAAATAAAGACGTATCTCTTTGTATTTGAGAAAATCATATGAATATCCTTTCACATGTTAAGAGAAAGTCAAGTTCCAATCAGCTAGGATTTAATGGGACCTGTTTCCACATGGAGTCATCACAGTTTTCTTTTGTCACCACTCACCACAAGTCCAAAACCCACCAAGCTAGGTTAGATGCTATAGAGCTAGGTAGAAGAAGAAGCAGTGTGCAGGCATGTGATTTGCCTCATTCACATCCTTAGGTCGTGGTACACCTCCAACCTCATTCAAGTCTGAGGACAACAGACATTAATGTTCTTTCAAGTTCGTATATATCTTTGATGATCCATTGGATTCTTTTACATTTTCTTTCAATCACATGTTCTATAAATATATATAACTAATGTTCATGATTATTGAATTTTGAACACGTACTCAATCAATGGAGGGGAATATGTGATCCCTTTTGTAATTAGTGAGAAGGATATTGTTTGTTAATTGAAACTTTGTACTAGTTAAATCACCAAAATCGTACTACTCAACCAATGTTTTAGAATTAATTAATGCAGTAATTACATATTAAAATTGGCTCCAAGAACTAGACCAAAATAACTGGCTTCAAAGTACAAACAGAACAAACCTGTAATAATTTTTTTTAATATTATCGTAAAATTTTTAATCATATAACATTGAGTTATCTTGCAATTGTCGTGGAAGAAGTTGAGTGTTTAGTTATAAATGCAAGATAAAGTTTCACTTATTGAGTTAGTTTTTAGGACTCGTGAAAGCTTAATGGTAGCACCCAATACTAATACCGGAACTCGGATTAAATAATTTTTTGTGTGTTGGCATGACATAAGTTGATAAAAAAAATGGTCAATTTAGAATCCGATATGTGAAAGGAAAGATGTTTATGTTATTCCATATTGATTGTGAAAGGGACTGAGTGCTTGATTATAAATATAAGTAATATGTTTTGATCTAGCTTTTGTGGTCGGAAAGGTAGACGTTCCAATAACACCCAATATATAATTAAGTTATTTTTAAGCAAAGTTTGAGTATTAAGGCTAAATCCATTTTGAATGGAGTTTAAGATAGATCATCATCACCTAAACTAGTGTGTTTATATATATATATATATATATATATAGCTTTCTTTTAAATTCAAATTTCATGGAGAACAAACTATATATTATCCAAACAAAACTTAAAAAAAACACACACACACATAGAATTTTTACAAATGTAAATATACTTAGTTAACATGTACATCAACAAGAAATTACAATATATTCAATTTATGTCGAACAAAGTATATATGTATTTGTTAGTTTTGTCCATGAAAACTACTGGAACTTCTAATGAACAAAAAAAAAATATATATATTATTTTATTATCATTATCATTATTATTATTATTATTTAGTTTTCTCTTAGTATTTTCATTTCATATTGAAAATATAATATAAGTAATTTTATTTGAGACAAAAAAGATAAAATCTAATTTTTTTTATAATAAATACGATTTTAAGAATTAACCTTACATATTATATTAATCATTAGTGAACCAACTCGTTTATAATTGAACTAAAACAAACATTATCTTCAGTACAGGAACTAAATGGCCCACTTTGGCAGGCATTGAATTAAGCAACCGATTAATTTCTGTCTTCTTAAAGGTGCAAATAAACAATGAATTGAAGTAAATACTAAATAATGAACAAGGTCCCACGACCAAAAAACTCTTGTCTCTAATATCCAACGGTCCAAATTCATTAATGACCCAAAGGGCCTAAAAACTTACACAAAAAACCAAAAACATAACAACATATAATACGCTCTCTCTCCTTTGGAGAGGGCTACATTGATGATCTAAATTGAAAGCACTTTCACGCTAGAAAAGTAGGACAAATAAATATTAAAACACACAAAAAAAAGACAAAAAAGAAAGAGCATTGGATGCCATTGATTGTGCAATCCAACGGCTACTTTTCTTTTCAAAAAGAAAAAGAAAAAAGAAATTAGCAACACAACCAGTCAACGGCTACTTTAGCGTCATGGGAACAGGGGACCTTTTCTTGTCATAAAAATGGGCTTCTTTCTCTCATGTGGTTTCACACCAAGAAAAAGCTTCAAGCATTGCCAGTTATATTAATGGATGAAATTCAGCCTAGTGGTGTAAGTAGCTTTTGGAGCCCAGTTTCTCGGAATCACATCTGTTGCAGACAGTGTTCTTCCTGCTGCTAGTGTTGTTAATTTCACAGAGAATGGTCCCTTCAACGGTCCCCTAATAATACACCAATTTGCACCCCATAGGTGATTCATCTCCAGCCACTCAGTGCCACCAGCCTGCAGATATAAATGCACCAAACAGTGAGAAAATCATAGAATTTTTATTTTTATTTGCATATGGAGATTTATAGCCCTTATTCTTTCATGATCTAGATCGCCTTTTCAGATACTAGAATCCAATTATGTCCTTAGATTTTCTTTTTCAGATACTTGAATTTCAATGACCCCCCTCCTATGGTCATTTTGAGAGTGGCCCATTTGTCACATGCAATGAGTAATACAAAAGATAAGAACAGAGCAGGAAACAAAGTGTGCTTTTGGGTCATTGGGCATATTGGCACCATTGACAAGCATGACTAGAAAAATAATGCAAATGGTATATTTCTTTCTTTCTTTCTTTCATTAATAAATTAAGAACGTTCAAACTTTAGGAAATGTCTTACACTGTATCAATTAAAGGTCTAAAATCATGAAATGGGCACTACTTTGATGATCTAAATTAGCACGTTTTTAGGCAGTTTCTTTCTAGTTGAGTCTGAAAGTTTCACACTTTAATGAGAAGATGCACTACTGCACCAACACCCCTAAAGAAGAGAGATTCTTTGCACTTTGGAGATGTCATCTCACTTTGCATTACCAAGTTAGGCATAAACAAAATTTCCGGATCCTAAGAGCAAGATGCTTTTTTGCTTTGCTTTCCGTCTTTCTATGGAGTGTTAAAAGTCCAAAAAGCAATAGACAAAACTGAAATTAAGGAAGGAGAAGGTTACTTACTTCTCTTATATGCATGGATCCAACATCACCATCACCATCTTCAAACTCCACTAGAAGGGATAGCCAATAATCTGTCGAACCTTCATTGACATGGAAGGCAATGTTCTTCCCAGGGTACTTACATGGGGTCCTACAAAAATGCGTTTTCTAGGTCATTTCAAATCATAAGGGAAGTGACAAAATAAACATCGCAAAGCACATGCAGTTAAACTAGATGGGAGAAAGAAAAGGACAACTACAAATAGTACACAGAGAAAAAAACACAAGGCATCTCCATACCTGCGATAAATGACTGGAAGTTCACCTCGGTTCCTGAGCTGATCGTTCTCGCCGGAAATAGCCATACGGCCAAAGGCTGCACCACTAAGGTCAAAGTGGGTGTTCCCATTAGAACAATACCCACCTGGGCACTCATCTGTAACAATTATGGTCACTGCCCTTCTCGAGCATATGCTTTTGTCTAGGCACCTAACTTTGTAACATGCCCCACATCCTTCTCCATTCTTGAAGAGTATTGGGCTCACTGCACCAACTCTGGCCCTCAATGGCCTCACGTCCACTAATGACCCGTACCCACATGCCCCTCCTGCACATTGATACAATTTGTTGTCAGATGCTTTACTGATGCAGTTTTGGGTTTCGAGAACGTGAGATTTTTAAGAACATGATGCCATATTTGCTAAGCTAAGCTAAGAAGAACTATTTCTTTCGATAAAGCAATTTATCGGCCTAACTGTGAATAAAGGGAACAAAAAAGAGGTGGAAAAAAATAATGACTTTTTAGACCAATGCACTCTTCTTTACAGAAGAAAGCGTAAGCGTACCTGGTTTCTTTATCACCAAAAAGGGCAAAAAAAACAAGAAAACGTTAAAAAAAAAAAATGATTTCCACCTTTAACTTTACTAAGGCTAGTTACCAGGGCTAACTCTGAGTCAACTCACCGAGTTTGACCAAGAAAGCAGAGAAAAAGAGATCCAAGAAGAAAAAACTTGCACCGAAAATTACAAAATGGGGAAAACAATAGTGAGTATAGTGAACACTTACCGTCAGTACCATCACCGTCAGGACTGCCATACCAGGTGGCAGTGGCCGGTTTCCAGCGTAAGTCAGCCACATTATGGTGAGTATGAGCTTGCTGCCCAAAAACACCCAAAAAACACTGCAAGATCACCACAACATATAACCCCAGGAGCTGCATTGTTGGCCAAAAGGGTCTTTGAACCGAAGGGTATCTCTAACAAATAGGCGGCGCCACTAGTCACCGCCGCTACCACCACTGCTACCTCTACCTGGCAATGTCACTTTCAGGGCGGAGAACCCAAGAAAAACAGTTAAAGAACAATCTTTAAACAACTTTCGCCGACAGTTTTTTTGTTGTTTCTTTGAAACAAAAACACTAAACTTACTAAAGTGTTGTTGTTCAATAGAGTTCTCTGTGTCAGGTTCCTTATATAGAACAGAACTGAGGGTTCTTGTTTTTCTATTTTTAATTTTTTATGACAGTGTGGTATATCTGTTTTGGTGTTATTAACGGGATTGCCACTTGCATTTTGGGTCCCACCGGCGGTTAAGGCGTTAATTCCGCATAACCGTATGTGTCGGCTGGTGAAAGATGGAGAGGCTTGATAGGGGTGTTTTGGTCAATTGAAAAAATGAATAACAGTCGCTTTTTCTACCGTTAAAATATTTTGTTTCTAACTGAGCACGTGGGCGTGCGAAAGGGAGATGGCAAAAAGGTGCTGTTGATTCCCGCGGTAATATTTGGAGTTTGGGACCTTAAGAGGGTAGTAGTATGGATGCTATAGTTGTTAATCCCACCTTAGGACGTAGTTTTAAGTCTTATTTGGATATATATATATATATATATTCTAAGTCAGAAAATGATTGTTTTAAACTCATTGGATTAGATTAGAGAATTGATTCTCATTTTTTTTGTTTAAAAAATATGTGTATTGAACATGGATCGTTATAAGTTTAAAGAAATTTGATTATCAGAATCAATTAAAAAATAAACATGATTCGTTAGTGACTTAGCTTAAATAATGATAAATTTAATTTTAATTGATGTAAATACTAACTAAAAAATTACTTCAATACTTTTAAGCTTAGAAAAAAAAATTTTTGATGGTAAGAGAAATCTTTGATGAGTTGCAAATCATTATCATTTATGGATCCAAGATAAAGAAAAATTTGCGCTATTTATTTATTTTTCATGATCCATAGATAAATTCATCTATATGTGACTAATCTTTTTAAAATTTATTATTTTAATATTTTAAAGTTAAAAATATTATAACTAAAAACAGTAATCATGGAAAGCTTCAAATGTTAATCACAAGTGTTTAATTAACCCTGGAGTGAATAATCTGTTTTCAATCAAATTCAAGAACCTCATGTGATATTTATATATATGATTTCATTGTAATTCCAAAAAGAAAAGGATACTGGTCCTTTTGTTTTTGTTTTTTGTTTTTTCAAATAAAATCAAAATCCTTTGGGGGAGGGGAATCAAAGATAAGCCAAACAGTTGACAATGTTGTCATCTCCGAAGGGCTTGTTTAAAAGAAATTGTGTATACATAGTACCTAGCCATATCAAATAATTTGAGTTTATATCAATTTGAATCCTCTATTTTTTACATTATTTTGATTGAGATTCTGTGTTTATTTTGTGTTAATTCAAATCTTCTATTTTTTATTTTGTATTGTTTAAAACCTTATGTTATAACATCATTAATTGTGAGCCACTTCGATGTGTCCACATCTAAATGCATGACACATGTTATATACGATATGCTTACTTGATATTGATATAACAAATCTACTTCTAAATACATGAGACATGTCATAACATCGGATTGCAATTGAAAAAAATAACATACATTGATTTGATTCAACAAACTTTAAAAAGTAGGGATCAAAATGTTTTTTTATGAAAATTACAAGGATAAAAAAATTATAAACAAAAGAACAAATTATAAAAAAATATATATTTTAAGGATCAAAATATATTTTTTGAAAATCATAAGGACTAAAATAAAATATTTTGACAAATTATTTTGGAAGCATTCAACGAGTAATAAGTAGAGGAGCATTAAAAATTAAGAAAGAGTAAACTTCATTTTTTTTTTAATTTTATATAGATAATTAGTTACCAGTTAGCATTATTGTTATTTTAATTTTAATTTTGACAAATATATTTATACTCTATTTTTTTTTAATTGTATGTTAAATTTATGTTATATGTATTTTATTATTTTTAAATTATTATAATAGTACTTAAAAAACATATTCTTCTAAGTTTATTGTGATAGAGTTTTATATATGATATGTCTTATGACATTCAGAATAAGGCCTTAAAAACACAATAACATAAAAATTAAAAAATAATAATTATTTAATTTATGTAATTTTTAAATCATTTTGATTAAAAATATTATATTTTTTAAATTATTTTGATTGAGTTTTTTTATTGAATTTCTATGCATCATGACACCTGTTATGCATAAAGAAGTGGACATATCATATTAGCTCATAACTAGTAGTGTTGTAACAAAAAATTTCAGACAGTTCAAAATAAAAAAACAGTCAATATAAAAAAAAAATACAGAATTTTAATCAAAATAATTTAAAAATTAACGAGCTCAAGCAGACCGTATTGAAATAGCTATAAAGAGGGTGAAGTTTATTTATTTGTGCCGTAAAACTTCAAAGCAAAAAGAAAAACAGAGAGCCCAAAATTTTGCTCGAGACTGCCTCGAAATCTGATTTTCTCTGTGGCCGAAACACTTTAGCCGATTTTGTTGACGTAAACTCATATCGGGTTTATTTTCTAGGAAAGAAATAAATTTCATACAACCGACCACTATTTTCAAATCAATTTATTTTTTGGATTGTACGGTAATAGCATTTTTAGACAGTTTGTGTGTGAAATGAAATGAAATTTTTATTACTCTATAATTAAGGAAGCAAAATCACATGCAAAAATCATAAATAATTGCATAGCATTAATTTCTCTGTCAAGAAAAGATTTTTCTCTTGTTGAAAGAAATTAATTCTTTCAAAATCTCAAGAAACATAAAAGCAATTGAGGAGAATTGGCACCAAAGTCGCCAATAATTGAACTTTTTGTGGCCCATGGCCATGGAGGCAAAATTTGTCTAGCATTTATGCCTTATCTATTCAATAAATGGACCACCCAATTGGATTTTGGGATAGACACAATAAAAGAGTTTCGATTATTTTTGTTATAGTTCATGATGTAAGACATGACTCGAATTCGTGCAACAAAATCAAATTGCAATTTAATTAGTTCAAACACAGCCTGCAAAATTATATTAATAATTAATTTTCTTAGTATCAACTAAAAAAATTTACAATATACTTTTGGTTTAATGATAGTAAATTTTACCTTACAAAAGATTACGTATTTAAACTTTTTTTTAAACAAAAAAACTCAGCTAAAATAGCCAATTTAATATGACGTAATAATACGGTCTCTTTTTCTGTCTAGCTAACTATTAACTGCTAATACATGTCATATCTATGGAAAAAAAAAACAGTTAGGGCATTATGTCCACCAATAATGTTGCTATATCTCTACAAAATCTTCTGATTAGTGGATTATGCAACAATAGCAAAGAAAAATTAAGAAAAAAGAAGAAGGGTGTGGCCTTGTGGGGGTGACGAGAGGGCAGTTTTCAATAAAAAGTGAAATAAGTGTTTCTTTTCGTTTGTTCTTTTGAGTAGTGGGAATCTGTGACTGATCCAATGCCCAAAAATGGTGGAAGATGATGCTGACTATGAAGAAAAGTCCAATTTTTATCAACAAAAAATCATGGAAGAGTTTCATCTCCACAAATTTCAAAGAGAGATCTTGTCTGGCCACAAGCTTGGACACCACATGTGACAACTTGGCAGCAGGCTGATTTATTTATAATCAGCAATAGGCATCATCTATTTTAACAATAGAACACAGAGTTTGCTACTATTATATATGTAAGCAGTTTTTTGTTTTGAATCAGACAAAAGTACAACATTAATCAGCATATTAAGGTAGAATTTGGCAGAAAAAAAGTCTTAATTGGCATGCTTCTCTGTGTAATTTGTGGAAAAAGTCTTGATTTTGTTTGTTTTGCTGCAGATTCTGGAATGAATCATTCATTTAAATTAAATCTCTCAACAACCAGTGGAAATGTACATCCATCATAAAAAATAAAATAAAAATTAAATCCATATACTATTTTTTGAGGACTTCTCGGTAAAAACAATTTTAAGTCAAAGTTAGCATACTAAAATTAAGTTTATTAATTAACTGATATATTATATATATATATATATATATATATAATAAGTCAAATTTTGCATACATATATATAATGAATGATACATATGACTTAATCACCATTAAAAAAAATAGGATGAAGGTGGAAGATAGAATACATTCAGCAGTCATATGATGAGATAAACAATTTATCCTCCCATATATATATGTTAAAGATGGCACATGCTTAAATTCTCATGATAATCTATTTAAACTTTGATGATCCTGCAGTGAAGAGGTTGGAAGTGGGCATCCAAATATATGCATTATAAAGCCTAACACAGTGCATCGAACAAATCAAGGGTTTAGTGCTCTTAAAAGAAGATTTGATGAATCTTTTATATAAAAACCATTCTTTGACCTTTTTATTACTCCCTTTTCAGGATCTGCATAAACAAAGCACATGCATTACCTTATATAAAAAAAAAGGGGATAAAAAAAACTTCATGCATGCTCTTATATATATATATATATATATATATATATATAAAGTATTTTCGAATCAATTTTTACATTAATTGAGATTAAATACATTATTTTTTAAGCTAGGTTAATGTTAAATCACATCTAATTTTTTGTGACTTCTCAATATCGAATTCTTTGAGTGCACTAACAGCCTATATCTAGTGCTATTTAAAGAAAAAGAAATAGTTTTTTAAAAATGAAAATCAAAACTCTCTATCTCATGAGTTAAAAACACTCTTTTTGTGTTTTTTGTTGAATCATTGATTTATTATTATTTTTTAATAGAAATTTAACGGATTTTATCTTATACATCTCAATAATCTTTTTTCGAATTTCATAACTTTTTAAGATTTGAACTTTACACCTACTAAATATCTAGTGCTACACAAAGAAAAGGAAAGAGCGTTCAAAAATTGAAAATCAAACTCTCATCTCATGAATTAGAAACACTCTTTTTTTGCTTTTTCTTGAATCATTGTTTGATTATTATTTTTTAACAGAGGTTTAATGGATTTTAGCTTTATACGTCTAAATAATCTTTTCTCGAATTTCATAATTTTTTAAGATTAGAACTTCATACCGACTATTAAAAACCTGAAGTACCCCTTTGGGCCTTTACCTAATTATGTTTCAATGTAGCTCGTTATGTGCAAAAAGTGTATCACAAATTGTCTAGCAAATAGTATACAATAAAGCACACGAACACCCACGATAGCATGCTAAAGCAGTACTTTGAAGTTGAAAAAAAGACTGTTTTGATTATGTTTAATAAAAGTATGATTATCATGGTAGTTAAAGTAGCTACAGTTGAGGAAAATCTCTTGTGAATCCGTTCAGCTTAGGGCACAAACTGTCACTGATTACTATATTGTAAAACCAATTAACTTTTTGATGTTGTATAGCACAGGTGTCCATAGTATGAGCACCCAAATCATGCTTTTGCAAAGATAGTATCAGGGGAGGAAAGGGTTGGGAAAGAAAACCCTACTGTAGTTTCTTTATTTTGTTTTTGCCTTTTTCACTTGTGTTTTGGTGAACTTGTAAAGGCTTCTTATGGGTTGTCTGAGCTCCATGCTAGGGTGTTTTTAGGTTAAAGTTGAGATTTTTTTTTTTTGATGAGTTGGTTAGCACATGACACGCTTTGACATAAACGTTCCATTATTCCTTCGTTTTTGGTCTTCATTTGAAATAAATGGAAAGATTTGTGATCAAACAAGAACATGGCCTTTTGATGATTAAGATGTGATTAAGTATCTTGGATGCACTGTCACGATGTGGGTTGAAAGAGCATTTTGATCCCCATATTTGTATGTTTTCGACTCAAGGACTTGCATGACCTGACACCATCAAATCCCAAATAGTGAAAAACTAGTTTCATGACTCTGAAACGACTCTCCAGTATATAAGCAGTAGGGAGCCAGAAATTATTAGCTGATTAACTATCAAATTCTGCCCACAGATGAATGGGGAAAACTAATTTCAATTCTTTTAGAGCCAAGTTAATGGCTGTTTTAATGAGGAAAAAGAAGATGATATAGGTTATTCAATCTATGAGATATGGTTATAGACTTATAGTGCTACAACATATATGGAAGAGCTATACACTTTCAATTAAACAAGGAATTCATCACTTGAAAGTGTGAGTTTTCATTACATTACATGGTGTTAATGCCATAAGGTTGGGTACAAAAGTAGACAAACCCCATATGTACTGACTGCACATCCACAAACACTGAATTGCTAAGAACCCTTTTCCATCTTGAAACCTTTAGCACTTGTACAAGCTCTCTTGGACATCAGATTGTAAACTGGTTGTGACATTTCACTTCCTAATCTTCCAAATGCAAGGTCCTGGCCTTGTGGAAAGCTATCACCTGTTTGCCTGATTTATCTGATCTGGGAGGGGAAAGAACACAAATTATATTTATTAAACAACAATAAAATAATAATACCAAGATATTGCTGATAAAAATTCAGGCCATTCATTTTTTATAACGATTTCTCCATGCATGTGTCTAAGCATTTAATAACAGAAAAAAATGATTTTACTACAAATAAAAATTGGACACTTGAAAAGAAAAAAAAGATCAAAATATTGAATGGCAAACTTGAGGAAATATATATATATATATCACTGGAGAATTATGCAGCCGCCTTATCGACCTTGAGCAGCCAGCAGGTATGCGTTAGGTTTAACTGACTAACAATTATCAAATTGTCAGCAGAAGTTCGAGGTCAGGAATCAGCATATGGTTTTGAGCAGAAAATTAAACATCTAGAAGTTGACCCAAAAATTTAGGGATAACGTGGAAATTAGTAGCTCAGATACTTCTACACTAAATATTCTTATTATCTTGAATCAATTATTGATTAAACCTATCAACTGGACCAAAAATAGAAAGAAAGAAAGATAAAAAGGAGGGAGAGTTGAAAGAGTCTCTTCGCAAATTTGAAGGAAACTTGACGGAGAAGGTAAAAAATGAGGGCATGGTTTATAGTGGTTAAGGATAATGAGAAATCCTTGGTTGATTGTGAGTGAGAAATATGTGGACCTTCTAATGTTCATGAATGCCAGAATAATTAAGTATCTTTACCTTCTCGTTAATCCTTATACTCCATGCATCGTTTCTAGATCCCATGACAGGTTTACCAACAACATAAGGAGGTGGGTAAACAACATCCTTCAGAAGTGGAACCCTATCTGAAGCATAATCATCATCACTGTCATAACATGGATGGGGCCCAATAGCTTTGAGTATCATTGCTAATAGAAAAGACAGTCCCTGCAAATTAGATTTCCAAACAAAACTTCCATCTTAAATCTTATGTGAATGCTAGCAAAATTAATAAACCAAGACTTGCAAACCTTAAAGTGTTAAATTATCATTTTTTACATGGGAATACAATATTTCTGCTTAATTTAAAAACTTGAGGCTTCCAGGGAATCATTTTAACAGCAAATAGAGTGAGAAATCCAATAAAAACATAGCATATGAATGAAGAGGAAACACATCACTATGTAATTTGATCAAGCCAATGCACTCTTGGAACAGCTAACAGTGGTTTTGTACAGGTACCCTAACAGGGGACTGATTGATGGTCTATAATTAATTTACCTGCAACCTTACATGTAAATGCAATCATTTGTAATACTCAAATGAGTTAATTATTAGACCTCACTCTCATTACCTTGCCAATGAGATGCAGGTAAAAGAAGAGAGGGAGAGGGTGAGGGAGAGGGAGAGAGAGACCTGCACAGACACAATTGATAAGCCTATCCATTTGCAGAGCTCAAAGTTTGATCTAATGAAACCTTTGAACTGATCAAAACTCCCACTTGGGTCTTTTGGGAAGTCCTGGTGCCAAAACAAAATAGAATGATAACCATATGGATTGTCAGAAAGGATTTGTGGTAACTTGTAACCTCAAAACCATAAGATAAGAATCAAATAATGAGTTTTTGGTCATAGAACCTGCCTCTTCCCAGTCATGGTTTAAAAATACATCAGCAGCAACGCCAGCTTCCAGCATGAGGAGTAAGAATACAAATAACATATACTGAATCCTGTTAAGGTCAAAATTAGCCAAAAAGTTCATGCATTCTAAGAAACTAAAGCTCCATGGAACTAAAACCTGTGCTTCTCAAGAAGTAATGAACAACCACAAAAGCAGAATTTATTTTTCTGAGTTCAAAATCTTATTCACCACAGTTATAATTAAACCAGATGGGGAGTGCCATGCAAGTCAAACTGAACTTATGATGCTGATCAGATGCTAAAATGTAATGTATCCGGACCAAAAACCAATATTTATTAGTAAAATTAAACAAAGAGAATACGAAAGCAGGGAATGTAGACACTCTTTAAACTGATTCGAATAAAGGATACTAGATAAAGGCAACAACCATTTGCAGTTTCAGCAGCAATATGACCAAAGCATGTGATCACGGACAAAGTGACACCTAGGCCAAGAAATGTGTAAATGAACCTGCATTTTATGAATAAGTTGCTTTAAAGACAATCAGGCAAGAAAGCAGCAAACAACCACACATCATTCATACACTGAGAGTATGAGTTAAATAAGCTCTCATTATCTGCCCACAGATTATTACTTTAAAATCAAAAGTGAAAACAACCATCCCCCCTTGTATTTCTTGTTTCAACTAATGTCACAAATTAATAATCCAACCCTAACCAATATCAATTATTATCTCTGTTCAAAGAAACAGCTCCATTAAGAAGATAATTTTGTCATTATTAATACTCCTACAACACAAACAAGAGCATGGCTTTAACTGCAGAATTACAAAATTTGTAACAAGAAGGCTATGAAAGCCATGGAAATAAAGCTCTTCTAGATTGTCAATAACACAGCAGGAAATGGAAAGGTAGTATATAAAAAATTTTAAGTAACATTTGGCAGTTGAAAAATAAAAAACCCCACTAAACTGAGTACTTAATTAAAAAGATGCAAGTTTCCAGCTATTACAAGCAAAATAACAGGACCAAAATCTTCCAAACTTCAATTTCCTATCCTTTTCATTGGTTGTCCATCAACTCAACGACAGGGTCAAAAGCAAATGAAAAACGTATACGAATCACAAACCAAAAAGTAGTAAAGATATTAGGCCCACTTGAAAGATCAGCACCCACTCTCCATTAACCAGAAGCAAACTTCCTTTTCAAATTTAATACACATGCACTTCAAAAATTGAGGGAAGCAAAGAAGATTCAAATATTGAAGCAAACCATAAGCCTATTCAGCAACCAATCAAACATACAAATAAGCAAAAACGTATAATAACACAACCAAAAAAATATCAAACAAACCAATCCTGAAATTCAAGCACCTTCACTTCCACATTTTCACACCAACCAAACAGAACCCACATTCCACAACCAAAAACAGAATCCTTTTTTACAATTTTTAAAACCAACCCATGAACCAAAAAAACATAAAACAAAACACCCACAAACCAAAATTTCTAAAAAAAAACAAGAAAGAAAAGCATACCAAGGAGTAAAGTCGTCGTCATCATCAAAAAATGGAAAATCACCCATTTCTCTTTGCCACACTATAATGAGCCAAACTGAATACAATACCATTGCTATACCGACCATTCCTACAACACAATTCACTAACTTTAATATTGATTGTATGCAACTCCTCATTACACTCCCCATTTTTTTCTTTTTCTCTTTTGTTATTGCTACTAAAACCCCAAAGCAAATTGACTAATTAGAAAAGAAAATAAGAAACGCCAAGATTTTTAAGAATCTTGAGCTTAATTACTCGAGGAATCAAATGATTTTTTTTTGGTGTTTAAGGGTTTAGCTTCGATCGATGTTGTGAAGGTTTCTTTCCGTATTTCAAGGGAATGATGGCCTAAAAATATCACAATGTACTTCATTATATAAATTTATTTGAGCACAAATTGATACGTAGGTTGCTGTGGTGTAGTGGTTATCACGTTAGTCTTACACACTAAAGGTCCCCAGTTCGATCCTGGGCAGCAACATGCATCTTTTTAATCTTTGATTATTTTTTTCCATTTTTGTTCTGTTCACTTTTTATTCTTTTTTTTTTTTTTGGTCCAATTTAATTGTTCTCTCCCATGAATAAAAAAAAAATGAAAGGAGGGAGAAATTACTATAAAAATATTGATTTCAATTTCAAGCTGTATTACGAACTAATCAGATTCAAAATCCAAGTACATTCTATAAGCATTTCTGTCTGAAGAGTAATAACCTTCTATCAAACTATCAACTTGAAAACCATGTTTCTTGTATAGAGTCATAGCTGCAGTCCTCAAGGGATCAACATGTAGTGATATACGTTGAACCTTTCTCTTTCTGCATTTCTCAATTGCTGCTTTAAGCAATGCCTCCCCATGGCCTTGCTTTCTATAGTTCTCCTTCACTGTTTCGTTTGGCAATAACAAAGAAAAAGGCCCATATAAGAAATCAAGTTCAAGCCAATCAGATACCAAAGAAAAAGACATTATGCTAAATGGGTTTTAGTGGGTTCTGCCTAATCAATCACAATATTCAGAAAAAGGGAACCAGTCCTCTTTGAGTACTTTCATCATACAGGTTATGGGTTTGTTAAACAATAAAAAGAGAACAACACAGAGAATGAAAGAAGTAAGTAATTGGTATTGTAACCTGCCAGTTTTGTGATAGAAGCACACAAAGAAGAGGGGCAGGAACACATGACATAGCCAACAACTTCACCATTTACTTCAATATAAAGTAACCCTGAATTCTTCTGTTTAAGTTCTTCGTCAAAGGATCTAGCAAGTGATTCATGTTTTGGGAAGATCTTTTTCTCTATCTTCACAATCTCTGCTACAACGTTGGCCCAGTCGGTTGAGTTTCTTTGGAGCTCCACTATGAACCCACTCCCCATGGTTCCTGTTCTATGTTGGTCTTGGGCTATACCTGCAGAAATTAATTGTTGTTTTCATTCTCTTAAAATTCGAAATAGGATTCTCGAAAATAAAGAAATAAATAAAATAGGGATAACTACAAATCAGCCCCCAAAAAATAATAAGTTTCCCAAGTCAGTCTCCAACTTATGGAATTTTGCTATAAATAGCTCATCCTGTAAAGTACTCATTAGGATCAAGTGATTTCCACACCTTCATGTCATCAATAAGTTGTAACTTGGCTGATATTAATGTTTTTTCTTCTCAAGATATTTCGAATTCGAATATTTCCATACCTTCATGTCATCAATAAGCTGTAACTTGGCTGATATTAATGTTTTTTCTTCTTACGATATTTCGAATTCGAATATCTATTTTGTAAATAAATAAAAAATCATTCATGTTAAATTATAATTTTATTTAAAAAATATCTATTTTTATCATTTTCTCGGAAAAAAAGAATTGGGGATTAGTTAAAATAAAAAAAAAATTCTAGAAAATTTATCTCCCTCACTGCCTACCAACCAAAAAAATAATGAGAAAGAAAAAACAAAAACTTCTTTATTCTTGAAATCCATAAACTAATTGAAGATGAAAGATCCCAACTTTGAAAGCCAAACAAAACAAAACAAAACAAATAAAATAAAATAAAAGCTTTCCGTTCACCTCTTACTTCTTCCTTTTTTTTTTTTCTCGACATTCTTTCACATTCTCTTATATTTCTCTTCATCCTTTAATCACGAGACAATATTAATTCATACATCTTGATAAAAAATTTAGTTTAAGAAAGAGTTGTTGTGAATTGATCCATTTTGGGACTCAAGAGTAGCTAAATTTGATTTCTTATAGAAATGGGAATAAAAATAAAAGATACGAATGTGATTTTTTTTTTAAATAGAAATATTTTTATTTATTTATTATGTATCAATTATTTTTACTACCATCATCCTCGCATTGGCTTCAACACCACCACTCCCATTGGCAGTGATGATTTTTTTTTTTTTTTTTGTATATAAATATTATTGTCATTATTCTGTTTCTACTATTATTTTTATTATATTAACATTATTACTATTCTTTTTCTACTACCACCTCATATAATGATAGCATCAATTTTTTTTAAATATATTATTGTTATTACGATACTATTATTATTATCCCTGCCATTATCATAATTACTTTTATCATTTTTATTACTATTGTCGTTGATAAAATTATTATTTTAAATTATTGTTCTAATTTATCTTAAAAACAAAATATTAAAAATTTTCAATTTTATTCTAATTTTTTATTACAATTCCAAACAAGTATTCAAATAAAAATTCCATTTTGATTTTGATTTCTGTATTTTTATTTTGAAACTTTTTATTCCTAATAACCAAAAAATGCCCAAATGTTTTTTTTTTTCCAATTTTCCTTTATTTACAATATGATCCTTAATTCTTATAATTTACAAAATAGTCCTACTATGAAGAGAGGAGGGAAGGAGCTAGGAACGAAGATTCTGCTTTTCCCGCTTTGTGTGCAAACGACATCATTTTGTAAAAAGTTCTAGGTTCATTTTTTGTATTTTTTTTCTGATTAACAATATGGTCCACGGAATTTAATATTCTATAGAAGTCCTTTGCTATTAGGCCCAAATATATGGGCCTAGCGTGAAAGTTCCTTTTTTTTTAAAAAAAAAAAATTATTTTCTATTCTTTGTTATTAAATCATTTTTTCATAAAAAATCTTGAAAAATTAATTATTATTATTATTTTTTTTGTTTTTCAACACAATCTTGTAAATTTATTTAGGATATGTTTCTTTTCTTTGTGGAACAGGTTTTTTCAAATTAAATTATTCATTCAAAATTATAATACAACATTAAATATTAAATTATTAAAATCTAGTAAATAAATTTAAACTTTGCCGTGTGCAGACAAAGATGGAGAACATAAAAACGAATGAGAATTTTAAATTAATTTTTTAAAATGATTTTAAGTGAAAATGATATAGCCCATAATTTGGAAATATTTAGCTCTAAAAAATAACATCGTAAAAAGTGTCAATCTCAATCTTGAAATTAATTTAATAGTTGATAATTTTTCAGTTAATGGATGAAATTCAAAAAAACATGTTATGATCATAAAATATTGAGAAAAAATTGAAAAAAATTAAAAACAAAGGAACCTTTTTTTTCCTTAGTCCTAAAAATGAATTGGTTGCAAATCTCAGCCACATAGCAATAGGGGAGGGGTGATCATTTAGTTTTTCGATTCGGTTTTGGTATTTTTTTTTAGATTTTCGATTAATTGAATTGGCTAAAAAAAAAAACCAAAATCGAACCAAATTGAGGTTCGGTTTTTCGGTTAAAAAACTAAATTTCTCGGTTCGATTTTCGATTAAAAATTGATTTTTTTTTATATTTTTCTTTTAAAAACCGAATTATTTTGCTTTTAAAAAATATCAAACTTGCATAATCAAATATTACATATTTCGCATTTGATTTTATAAGAAAATTTTGTGTGATTATTATTATTTTTCTATACTAAATTTGTTTCTATTTATATTATAAATTAGATTGATTATGCTTCTCATTATTTTTTCAATCACGCTACAATTGATTTTTTTGTTAATTTTTCATATTCTTTTTAATCTACTTATTTTGTGCATATTTTATTATTAAATAGATAATCTAAAAAATACAATTTTTAATTTATGTTTAGTATAAACATAAAAAGAGAAAAATTATTATTGTTAGTTGTTATTAATACTACTATAATATCATTATAAATGCAATGACTTTGAGTCAATTTTTTAGGGGATATTTTTGTGTCAATTTTAATAGGAGAAAATTTCTTTTCCATAAGGTTTTAGAATTCATCCACACATAAACTTGTGTATTTATAAAGAATTATTTTATCACAGTCTTTTTTTTATTTGTTTGTGAGTCAATATAATATAATCAATTATTTTATTATTTCAATAAATAAGTGATGGATAATATTTTTATTTTAAGCAGAAAAAAATCATTAAAGCTATTGTTCTTTTAGTTAAACCAATAGATGCGTCTTTTATTTTTTTTAAAAAAGAAGTTGGCTATGTGTGTAAAAAAAAAAACTAATTCGGTTTTTAGTCGAAACTGAATTAAAAAAAAAAACTGAACCGAATCGAAATAATTTCGATTTTCGATTTTGGTTTTTTTTCAATTTTTTAAAAAACCGAACCAAAATTGCTAATTCGGTTCGGTTTGATTTTTTATTATAATCGAATAATGCTCACCCCTACGCAGTGAAGGGCATAAGATCCAATGATAGTATACAATATATTTAAGCTAGATCTACCTTATATATATTTATATATAAACCTTTATCCGACATTATTGCTCATTTGGTGCGTGAATTTTTTAATTTTTTTCTTTTTGAATATATATATTTTTATTTTTTTAATCAAATATTCATGTTAAATTCATTAAAAAATTTTAAATTGACACATTAGAATGCTAATCTGTGCCATCATATAAGCATGGATATTTTATTTTATTTCTAATCAAGTGTGTATACTTTTATTTATTTTTATTTAAATCTATGTACTTTTGCATTTTCTATTTGATTATCTGTATTTTTTTTAATGAGTGTTATTAATTTTGAAATCTAATTAATATATATTATACGATCTTATGTAAATCATATTTTGAATAAATTAACTAAAATTAAAAATTAAAAAAAATAGATAAAAATTAAAAAATACAATAAAAGGCATAAAAAAATAAATGAATGATGATCGTAATTGACTAGGTAAGAAAAAAATAAATAAACAAACAAAATAATTACAGAAATTGGTATGAAAATAAATGTGTGTATGTGCATGAGAGATCAAAGACTTTATTGAGAAATTGAAATATATAAAATTGTATTGAAAAAATAATTTTTGTTGTATGACGAATTTGGTAAAAAAAATTTTACCTTTTAAAATTAGTGGTAGAAATTTGTTTGGTTTGTAAGAAAGTGAAGGAAATTAAATAATCTAACTTTTTATATATATAATTTTGACAAATCATATTTTATTCTTATTTTTTTATTGAAATAAACTAAAATGTTATTCCTTCTTGTAGCAAGTGAGTAGGATACGCAGCTGTTGTTCAGAATCTTTGGCAAGTAAATCTTATTTCCAATTGCTAGAAATAGATGGTTAATGCAGAATTACAAATGTAGTCTGATATAATGTCAAGTTTCATAAACAGAAAACTGTATAGAATGAATAAAAGCAAGCAGATGTCAATCAATCCCATCACGTAGCTAGCAAAAATTAAGTGCTGGTCTCAAGAGATAAAAATTAAGTGCTGATCTCAAGAGATAAAAGACCTATAACACCAAGCCACTGTCAGAAGTTGCGAGTCGATAATTATGACCTGCAGTGAGAAAGAATCCATAAATGAGCTTATAAAGATGAGTTAATCATCAGTGAAGACTTTGGATTGCTCTGACAATGTAAGCTGTCGCACCATATGTAAAGAGCACTATGAGGGGTAGTTGGGTTTGCATGAAACATACTGCTCAACGACCATACTTCTCTAAAACATGCTTTTGATTCTGTATATAATAGAGAAAATTCTGTAGCCATTATATTTAATCAGAAAATAAAAAATATGCAGTCAAAGATATTTGTCAAAACATAGTTCATTCATCCACAAATGGACCTTAAACAGAATGGTACCAAAACATTTATTTGTCTATTTTTATACTACATGTACATTTGTAATGACATTTGACAACTTGCAAAATCCAAACTTTCCAAGATTAAAAAAAATAAAAAATCAATAGTTGGGTTACGATGCTTTCATTTCCAAGATTAAAAAAAATAAAAAAAATCAATAGTTGGGTTACGATGCTTTCATTTGCTTGATATATATGAATTCCTATATCAATTCCCAGGTTTTGCAAGTCAAACGAATGGTGCCAATTGCATCTGGATCAATAGCAAAGAGATATGATGATAC